CTAAACCTGATCTAATCCAGTACTGTGGGCATTAAGTAATATTTGCCAGGAATGACAGTTGCACGGGGTTGCGATTTCTCAGTTTTTTTCTCTCCAGATTTCAAGATTGTTGACCTTTTAAATTCGGGATTTTTTTCAGAGCCAGTTGGAAGAGGGAGTTCATTCCATGCCAGCCTTTCAAAGCTTTGGCATGGATGCGTGTAATTCGTTCTCATTGCTGTATTGCTGATCCCTTGAGACTCCCTGTGACAAACTCATTTCAAACATACAAATTGATGTGGGTCCTGGGCGTGACCACATAAAACACAGGAAAGGGGTCCCAGTCATGTTAGCTGTGTGTCCTACTGGTTGTAAATTTCTGCGAGTGTTTGAACGTGCGGAAGCATTTCACACACGTGAATCGACATATTTGCCACAACCCGAGTTTGGCAATAGAACACTTCAAACTTCGTGTTCTTACAAAGTTGTTATTTCTTTCTGCAGTCAAAAAATGGACAGAACAAAGTTTCACCTGTCAGTTTTGACGCTAACATGGACATTGATATTTATTTAAAAAACAGAAAATCACCTTATGGTCACTGTCAAGCCGTAGCCTCCGCACTGATGCACAAGATTTTTGTGGCGGGCTCTAGTCCCAGCCAAAAAAATGTAGAACCGTCAGGGAAATACTGTGAACTACGGTGGTAACCTACTCTTCCTGGTTACTGTGTTTCTAACAAGTACCGGTACATTTAGACACACATGGCCAATGTCCAGCCCCCTCATTTTTTGATATTAAACCCAGTTGTCAAGCGTGTTGGGTCTTGGATTGCTACCCAGAAGTCCATTTAAAGTGGAACATCCCATGCAGCTAGGGAAATCATGCCCAAGATTTATGATGCTGTGGTAGGTGCTAGGGTTAGGGATATTACCTGCACATGTACTTCTCATCAAGTTGTCTCATAAATAACGACAGAAACTGTTGCAGCTTTCAGCCAATGGATCATTTGGAGAAGTTAAATTCTCACGATCTGTGTACTTCAGGATGTTTGTCAGAAACCTCATAAAAGGTTATACTCTATTGTGAATGGTACAAGCTCGATGTCTTACACGTACATGTACCCGGTGTGTAAACACAGGCCACATTTGCCATGCATTGCACGCATCCTCGGCCACATATGACAGTCGCTGTTCATTCCAGCGCTCGTCGTCGTCGGGGCTACCCACCCACCTGAGTCATCTTCTCTCTCACCTTCCTTTCCCTCTCTCTAACCCCCTCCCCCCCCCACACACACAACCTTTCCCTCGGGGTGCTGCTTTGAATAATCAATTGACCTACCTAGCCAAGTTCTAGGGTGCCTTGGGGTGGAGGGGGGGTAGTGGAAGAGTGCCACCGCGAGATCGATCCATAAACTGCATTGATACTACACGGGGCCCTGCTCCTTATAATATAAAATGTACATGTAGCTTTTTTTTTTCGAGGACTTGCCTTTGGGATGGTGGACTGATCCATAGCTATGTTACCCACACAGATACCTACCAGTAGATTTTCTACGTGTACATGTAGGCCTACCAGTAGGACATACACTGGTACATGTGTTACACGGTATGTACATGTACATGTACATGTAGGTCTTTTGATGGTTCAAAAAATGTTGTGAAATACTGGGGTACATGTATAATGCAGTTTTCATGTTTGTGTCTGGTCTGGTCTGTACTGCACAGTTTCACACCTGGAAGTTTGCCAAGATTGGCTACCGTATGGTGTATTTCAGTTTCTGGTGTAATTGACATTGGTTATTCCCCCATTTAATTGGTATTGACCCAACTATAAAGTGCTTGTAGTATTCCTGGGGAACTATACATGTATATGTGTGACTCCTTGCCGTTGCATTACGAGGAGAATGGTACCTGCCGTGGTTGTGTTACGTTTTGTGCTCACATTCATGGACATGTGCCATGTACATGTACATTTCCACAAATTCAGCATGGGGCTTGATTTCCCCGCGTGTTCCTGCAGTGGGATATCGTGTTCACAACTTCACACCCACCTCTGAAATGAAAGATTGATGCAATCAGATTTGTCACCCGACTGCACTACTCCTAGCAAACAAGATAAATATGAGCACCAGATCGAGAGACGTGACTGGTTTTGTTGATACTATGTACACGTTCAGTCGCTATTCATGTATGTGACAAGCCACCTGCCATGCCGCATCGTTGGCTGCAGTTTTTTCTTCAGTGAAAAGCGGCAAGGTGTTACATGTACATCCCGAACACACAAGACTACATGTACGTAGTGGACTGCTGTGGAAGTTGGGAAATAACAAAAACCAGATACACAGTGTTCCTTGTACGTGTGTGTAGTGAATTATTATCGGGAAATCCTTTCTTGCGTAAATGTAGCAAGTCATACCACATGCTGCTGGCTATGATAATACATGTACAAGGCCAACATCACTATGAAAATATGAGATTGTGGCAGATTTTGCACCCAAGTGGTTTTTTTGGGAGGGGGGGGTTGGAATGATGGAGTATACATGTACGTGTACAGGTAGGCCTATACTGGTGGATCATGGTTGGCAACAAATGGAGGTATGATGCATTGTAGCAGGAACTCGACCCAACCTAACGAAATGAGTCGCAAGGCACCAGAGCCACGTTTGAGCTCCGTGCGTTGAACTGAATTCAATCTCACACGGTGTACAATCGATAGGAACCCTCAACATTTTTTTTCACCCAGGTAAAATGTCCGCTTCTGTCGAGGATGCCACACAGTGATACACGCACATCCAAACAGTTTACTCTTTCTGGTGCAAGCTTAAGCCAAATGCCCCCCCCCCAAAAAAACTTAAAGATTCTTCTTGTGGGATCTGGTGAGAAATTCTCTTTCGCTGACCGTGGGGGAAGGACACAACTTCCTCCATGCACTGACATAGACTGTGTGTACAGTTTGCACAGTGTTTTTTTTGTGCGGCAAGCAAACAGTGCACGTTGTAATTCTCACACACCGGTGTCAAATAAGATGCAGGGTCACTGTTTGCACTGGTATGCACATTTTATACATCCGTGATATCCTGCGAGGAAAAAAAGTCTTCGGTATTCACAAATTGGATGGAAATTTAGATACTGCTTATTGCCTAATGAGATTACTGGCTGCCCTGGGTCTCCGTAAATTGCGCAATTGCATTGAAAGGTTTTCAGGGAAGAGATCTTTACAGTATGAAATTACTTTTTCTTTTCTCTCACCCTTGTCTCTTCGAAGAGAAGAAGTTTTCAAAAAGGATTTTCTGGGCTTGCCTTTTTTTTTTCATTCCACTGTGCTGCAACTAACTGTCAAATGAGTTTTAATCCCATATGGAAATGCCACCGTGCCGTGCTAGAGAGAGAGAGAAAAAAAAGAGACTCCAAATGAGATTTCCATGCCAGGATAACAGGATCACACGGGAAATAAATTGCCAGGGCACAGTGGGGACGCAGCCAAGATTGAATAAAGCGGCTTGTAATCAGCCCCTTGAATGTTCACCCATGCATGTGTGAGTTGTGGCTGTCCCAGCAGTGTATTTGTGCGTGTGGGGGGAGACTAGGATCCCTTATCTCATGCGGTTCTGATGATTTTTCAACATCCCTTTCCCACGGCTTTCCCAAACTGTTGTCGCGGCCACATACAGGTAGCAATTTCTAGTTCACAGTTAAAAAACGGGGGGTCAAACAGTATGCATATGGCCTGGGTTGAGGTAAAGACCCTCACGATAATACCGGTAGGTCTCACCGCCAGTCATTGTCTTGCCCTACTATAGGTCCATTTAAGAACAAGACAATGAAAAACGGGGTCATTATACCGGTAATAACCATCTGCACCTGTGTGCTAAATTTTATCCAATTGTACCCATACATGTGTAATTACCCAATGAGAACGTTCTAGTTATGTACATGCTTGTTCTTGGCCAGATTCACAGTTATAGACTTACATGTATATCTGTTTAATCTTCAGCAAGTATGAGCATGCACATGTGCCTTGTGATTTGCCTTTTCAACGTGCAGCAATGCCATCTGTCGTCCGTCAGAGTTCTTTTATCAAGTTTGTCCCCCCCTCCAATGCACGGAATACACATTGGATGTGGAAAGTGAGAAGATGAGATCGATGCACCAAGGACATGAACAAGAAAAGAAATTATAAACCTGAAATAATCCCGATAACCGTAGCAATGTCTCCCGGAAGACTCTGCATCTGATTGTGTTGCAAGGCACGTGTGCGCCAGGCCTGTATTTCGCGTACATGTTTATGCCAGGACTCGGTTGGTGATGAGTGACCGTGGCCGGTGGCGCGCACAGACCCAGCCCTGCACTGTCACCACCGTGTGTGAGGCAGTGTACATGCACAGTACGTGTACATACATGTGGCACCTGCTTGCGTAGATACTGTATTTGGGGGGGGGGTGGATGATTTACTTGTCCACACGCCATCCATCTTTATGATTAGATCCCCGACGGATTTGCAAAAGTGCAGTTAGACTCAGTTGAACTTCATTATGATAACGATTAGTCACGCGACAATATTGCAACTTATGGTATGCACTGTGTGCACCGGTATGACACTAACACACACTGTACACTGTCTCAATTGTAACTCTACAATTATTTGAAAGGTTTTGAGATTGATTTTTTTTTTGTTTAATTGGTTGCTCCTTTACAAATCCCATCCATTTTTCAGCAGGTTTACATGTACGGTAGATGTGACATGCAATGGTATACATGTACTTTGCTTGTCGGAGCGAGAGTTACACTCTGAAAACGTTTCTTCATTGTCCCCTCTACCGGGGTACCTAGGGACTCCACCAGGAATATAATCGGAAGACTTCCAAAGGCTAGCCTGGCCGATTGCCAAAATAAGTTGTAATCAAATACTTTCAATCGGTGTACATGTACATGTACCAGCACATCCTGGTGTGCAGAATCTCCCCTCATACTCTGTGATTTGGTTTCTGTTTTTTTCCCTTCTCCCCTCCCCTCCCACTTAGATCTGAAGAGAGAGGCCAGCATTTGCCACATGCTGAAGCATCCCCACATCGTAGAGCTGCTGGAGACCTACAGCTCTGATGGACTCCTCTACATGGTCTTTGAATAGTGAGTCTCGACTGGTAGATGTGACCAGACCCCACAAAATGAGTCTTAAATTACTCTTTGTATTAGACAGAACAAAAAGTGAGCGCATTCCACGGACAGACGTATCCCTCAGTTTGGTAACCTGGTTCAAATGGATGTGGTATACAGGGGAAAATGTTGAGGGTTCTTGGTGTAAGCATGGAGGAACTGAAGGACTTCCACTCATAGTGGCTTGAGTGACTTACTTGTAAGGCATTGTATTTTGCCTAATCTTAGTGCTGTAAGCCTTTTGCGAGTTTAATTTGATTAAAACCACTGTTGCTATACCTCGTGATTCGGGGCAAGCTTTTGCTGAGTTACATAAGAGATGCCTTGCAATAATACACTGTTCTCAATGGATAAGAAGGAACCAGACCATTCTAGAGACGGTAACTCAGTGCAGTAGATTTTATTCAAATTTAACTCGCAAATGTCTTTTTATATGCCATTGAGAATTCAAATGGGAACACATGTATGGTTAGAAAATCAGGCATTGAGGCAGAAGGGAAAATGATTGCTCAGGACTTGTTTCTGGAGTTGTTTCCTGGTGAGAATTTTTTTTGGGGGGGTGATTGATGACCCATAAAGCACACAGGGTCAAAAGTTCAACCGAATTTGGCTTAGAGATTAGAAGTCAAAACAATAAAGTGCATTGACGTAAATTTCATGTCAGAGGCAGAAATGACAGGCTGAGTTGGATGTTAAGAATATAAGCACATTTTGTTTTATCACTAAACACTCTCCACCCCAGGTGATTGGAGTCCTGGGGAGAGATCTTCCAGGAGAACCTGAATGACAGCCCTGAAATTAAATTTAGATTCTGTGACTGAAGTCACATGATCAGTCACGTTATCAGTCACAAGACCACTTTGGCACAGGCCAAGAAACACCCTCTGATAAAGGTACAGATGGGACTCATCATGTTGAACTGCTCTTTTTTCCGACAGCATGGAAGGCGCAGATCTGTGCTTTGAGATAGTGAAGCGGGCCAACTCCGGATTCATCTACAGCGAGGCCGTGGCCAGGTTGGTACGGGAGGGGAGGAAGAGAGCCTCACCGGACTAGACTAAACAGATGTGTCCGGTGTCACATTCCACGTGAACATATATGGCCGTCTTCAATTGGGTGGTCGAGTGGCATTCACACATAAACCCCGCCAGCTGTTGCCCCAAGATAACAGAGGGAAGTCAAGTCCAAGAAGATCCGTATATCACAGGCTGACCTCATGCTTGATCACAGGCAGGAAAAGGACAGAGAGTAACGTCCTAACATTATATGATCCTTGACAAGTCTTGCAAAGCCCTGTTAACATTGTCTTCCGCATAAATCTTATCAGTGTGCATTATGTCCCTTTTTGAGCCGTCAAATAAGGTAACCACACGAGAGTGCGTCGTCACGTGGATTTGTGTGATCGCTGCCCTCACAATGATTGACACATTTAAGGCTGAAAGTCTTATCGCTTGTTTTGCATTACTCGTTTCTCTCTGTAGCCATTACTTGCGTCAGATCCTGGAAGCTTTGCGTTATTGCCACGACAACGACATCATCCACAGGGACATCAAGGTAACTGTCCTGTCTTGAACATCTCTGATGATAAAAATGGCCATTTATAAAGCGCAAAACATATCCACGATGAAGGTACTCAAGGCGTTAGTATTATCCCTGCACATTGGGCACACAACATCTGAGCATTTCTGAAACCGTCTCAGCTCCCTGGGGAGTATTCTCAGCTCCGTGGGGAGTATACTAGCCCGATGCTGCCATATCGGTGCAAATGGCCAACCCTAAACACTTCTGCCCTCACAGGTGCCCATTTACTCTTGGGTGGAGAGAGGCACGCAGGGGTTCAGTGACTTGCCCGAGATCGCGTCATGCGGTCACCAGCTGGATTTGAACCCCTGACCTTAAGATCGGAAGCTACAAACCCTAACCACTAGGCCACATGCCCCTGCTCTGTGGTTTGTCTTTCTACAGACTCGTTGGAAAAAGATAACCTCATATATCATGTGAATGAAGTGTCAGCATATCTTCATTTGTCAGCGTCATGTTTTCAGTCGTGCCTTTTGTGCGTTTTTTCTCAGCCTCATTGTGTGCTTCTGGCCACCAAGGAGAACTCAGCCCCAGTCAAGCTGGGCGGATTCGGCATCGCGATCCAGCTCCCCGAATCGGGCCTCATCGCCGGAGGTAGGAGTCACCCACGCAGACTTCACCTCCTTAAGTTTATCCCTCTCACACCAGAGCTCAGTTCGCTTGAAGGCTTCAGACAGGAAGAACGAATTCCGGTTAACCTTTGCATGCGTATCAGTTGCCCTTAGGGGAACAAAACGCTTTTTCTGTTCTCGTTAGTCAGTCCTTTGTTCAGATCAGTCCTCTGCGGTAAGTGTTCAGAAGAGTGTAAGCTTGTTAGAACGATAGAAAAACAATATTATCTGCCTCGAGCAGAAGCACCCCTCATCGGTTGAAAAGAGCCTTGTTAGTTGGGAGTGTTGAATTTGTTGGTTTCAGTGCGACCGCAATGCGTACATTTCCTAGTCGTTGGTGAACCAGTGAACTGCAGTTCCAACCAAATTAACCTCCATTGCTAAGAAAATAGCGCCCTCTCTTGGTCCAGCTCGAGGCCCATAGGAACAATAGGAAACACCATGCCTTGTCCTTAGTGGTGTTGTACTGGGTGGTTAAGAGAGTGTGAACTTGTTTATAAGTGCAATAAGCCTTTTGCAAGTTAAAGTTGAATGAAATTTGGTACACTGAGTTCTTTGAATTCACGTGAACATAACAATTTAAATTCACCACTCCAGAAGACACTATTGCTAATCCTAGTAATTCAGGGCAAGCTTTTGCTCAGTTACATAAGAGATGCCTTGCATCAATACATTGTTTACAGTGGATAAGAAGGGCACAAAGGAACCAGTCCATTCCAGAGATGGTGGTTGCTATGCAAAAGCTTGCCCCGGATCACGAGGTGTAGCAACAATGTCTTTAGTCGGGGAATTCAAATTGTTATCTTTTTGTGCAATCAGATAACTCAGTGTACCAAATTTAACTCGCAAAAGGCTTATTAGAGCACTGCGTTGTTGTGGGGGCCCCATTGTGTGGAGGATAAAAGTTGGCCTTGTCCAAATCAAGCGGCTGTGGCTTGGAGTTAGACACATTTCTATGGGAAGTGGCTACAGCTGCTAGCCATGTAGCCATAGGTATGGTTGTGTGAAGCCATAGCCATTACTTTTGGACATAGTCATACCACGTAAGCTCAGGCGAGCTTAAGGGGGATAGTTACGTGCAGGTTTAGGTAGTTACCACGGATCATGAGGATTAAGTCAGAAATGTGGCTGTGGATTGGGCATAACATTACCCCCGCATCAGCCTTGAAGCACACTCAAGTCCACCGTGAAACATGAGTGTACTTTAGTGTTGAGGCCATCACGGGACCAGTCGCAAGACCAGATGCAAGCATTCACAAGACAAGTCACAAGTAAGAGGTGGACAGTGACAAAGGAATGCTGCTGTTGCAAGTGATTTGAACAGCTTGTGACTTGAATTCAGCCTGGAAGTCTCATCATGCTCATGTGGAGTCTTGTGATGGTTCTGATGACGTCTCAGCTACCTCGGTAACATTCCTTTGTCAGATCACTATCCACTGGAATGGCATTTAAAAAACTCTGTCCTGAACATTATATTTAATGACTGTGTATGAGTTCAAAGTAAATGGCTGATTGGATGTTGTCACCTTGTCTTGCAGGTCGCATCGGCACACCCCACTTCATGGCCCCCGAGGTGGTCAAGCGGGAGCCCTACGGCAAGCCCGTGGACATCTGGGGCTGTGGGGTCATGACCTTCATCCTCCTCAGCGGTTCCCTGCCTTTCTTTGGAACCAAGGAACACCTGTTTGACATGATCGTCAAAGGCAGATACTATGTAAGTCCAAAAAAATGCCCATTCCGTCAGAACTTATGCATCGTGCGACTTGATGTGGCTCCGCCTTTGTCATTGTTCACCCTGTTACTTACAATGTACGGCGAGTCTTGTTAAGGGGCTGGTGACTAGACTTATGAAAGGGCTTGACTACAAGGCTGTCTCAAACTAGTGTTATGCACTGGCCGCAATGATATATCAAGTGCCCTAGATACTTCAGCTCCTGAGCCTGAAGAAACCTGTAGAGAGGAGATAGTAAGAAGCAGTTACAGTTCCAGAGGTGGGAGGAAAAACCAGAAGAATAGTCTGGGTAAAACTCCAGGAATCAGGTGGGGACTGATAAAAACCGAATCCACATTTAGAATTGAACCCAGGCTGCAGAGGTGAATGGCGATGTGAGAACCATTTTGCCAAGCCAACTTACCATTGCTGTTTCTATCGTTGACGGTTTTGGATATGATCAGATGAAGCCCAGACAGTGGGACCATATCTCGGAACCCGCCAAGGACCTGGTGCGGCGCATGCTGCGCGTGGACCCCAGGGAACGGATCACCGTGGAGGAGGCTCTCAGGCATCCCTGGCTCAGGGTGAGTTGGAACCCACCCCCGGCATTCCTGCCTGCGGTGCTTGCCACCCTAAAGTCTTTGTCTGTGAGAAGTGGTGTCAGGTCACCTTTAGCAATTTAAAAATATTTATGTAACGGG